ACCAATATCTTGAGTTGTCAGACTGCCAGATGCAGTCGCTTGCGATTGCACAAGTCGCTTGCTGTCGGCTATGCTCAAACGAGCGACGGCGCCCGTACAGGGGGAAAGAGGACGGCCTCGTGAGAATTCCCTATGTTGTTGGAAAAAAGGAGTGAGTGAGCTTGCACAAACTAAACGACAATTGTGTCGAGGTTCACAGTTCATTCACCCATGTCTTGCGCAATGATTCGAACTGTTTGCTTGTATTGTTTGGATCGGTTGTTCAAAAGCACATTTATGAATGTTCGCTTAAACCGATAGGCGTTTCGCACGCCTACTGTAAGTTAGCGATAAAATGTAAGTCAGCTTGCTGATGCATTATCGTTGCTGCGTCAGCTTTTCGCATCCCAAATTTTGATGGCAAAATTATGTTAGTACAGTTGTGTATATTTGACATAGGTTCACACTTGTCAACATTGACGCATCGAGATTTAATCACAGCCACTCGTCCTGCCGTTCGAGCATGTGATTCGATTCGAACAACCATCTACAGGCTCAGATGCTTTTGCATGATCACGCAGTTGCATCATGACAATTTGATCATGCATGTGCAAGATGTTGTCATGCATTTAGTTGACATGCTACTTTTTCTTTTGCCCACCTCCACTCCCTGTGGAGGCCTCTTCGTGTCCTCCTTGCAAATCATTACTTGCATCTTGCACCGCCTTACGGCGCCTTCGCACCTGCGATGAAGCCTGTGCTTCATGCTTCGACATTACCCATGCATTCTGCCTAACCCAGCCGTCAAGAGGACGGCCTCGTGAGAATCCCCTATGTTGTTGGAAAAAGGAGTGAGTGAGCTTGCACAAACTAAACGACAATTGTGTCGAGGTTCACAGTTCATTCACCCATGTCTTGCACAATGATTCGAACTGTTTGCTTGTATCGTTTGGACCGGTTGTTCAAAAGCACATTTATGAATGTTCGCTTAAACCGATGGGCGTTTCGCACGAATAGCCTACTGTAAGTTAGCAATAAAAAGCTTTCTAGTAGTTAGAAGGAAGCTTTCGTTTCACTGGGAGTTATTTCACCTGTAGTAACTAGAAGCTTACCAGACACTGACACCACACAGTTTTGGTCGGATGATCAGCGCAGCTTAGGGCCACGTATGTGGTTGTTGTGCCTGTTCATTGGATTCATTTCTAGCTGGATCGTTCAAACCGGGCAAGGGTGGTCAAGTCATGGTCAAAAAAAAATTGAATCTAAGGAACATCTACTGTTCCAGTACAAGAAAAGATGTAAATAGTGCGCCCTGATGTTCTTTTTCTTGCGCTGAGCTTTGCAGCCGCTTGACCAGAGCTTTCTGAGTGGACAGCTTTTGCAAAAGTTGCTGCAGGTACACACCAAAGCGTCCTTTGGGCTTCCCCTGCCACATCCCAGCTTCGTTGGGCCAGGTTGGATGTGACAGGCCTGGACACACACAAGTCGCCGGCTTCGGCGCTTTTTCAAGACACCCCCTACCGTTGAACCAGTGGACGAAAACCTTTTGCCCAGGGGTGGACACACACACACAGAGCCGTTTTCGGCGCGGTCAAAGTAGTAGTAAGGCCAGGGGCCTCCAGTAGCGTCCTAACTCCCAGGGGAACATTTGTACAAAAAGCGCCAAATTGTTGGCGCAACGAAGAACTAGTAGACACCTAGAAAGCCTTAGAAAGACAGAAAAAGCAACGAAACAAGAGCAGACTAAGAGGGCAAGAAAGAAAAGTAGGGTAGTTACGAGGCCCACTTAGTTAAACGAAAGTAGAAGGCGAGCGGGACATTCGTCTTAAACCACCCGGGTAGCTAGCAATAGCTAGGAGAAACAGAAGGAAAGGCACCAACACACAAGTGTGTTGAGTGCGATTTCCTTCTGTTTCCCGAGTAGCGGGTGGGATAGCAACAGAGGCCTGGGGGTAGGGAGGGGGGGGGGTGTGCATGATGAATTCATCCGGCCTGTGAATACTTAGCAGCGCAGGCATGTGAATACTTAGCCGTGAAGTATGCTCAGGCTAGCGAGTTTGAGTTCTTCAGTCTCCGAAATCTGATGTATTCGAAAGTAACCGTTTTTGGGCCCGGCGGCCAGTGTATCGGTTGATTCAGTGGGGGTGTCGGTGACTGCCAGTGAGGGTCCAATGAGCGGTGGTGCTTTGGGGTGGTTGCTTTCCCATGTAAAAACGGCGCCCCTGTGACGGGGATCACACTCAGCACCCGAGTGGGACGGCTGAGCGAACCTCGGAACTTGGTACAGCTTGGCTTCAAAGAGCCTACTGTATTTGAGATGATCAGCTGTCCTAATTTGGGACGCCAGATATACTGGAGTGTATATAAAGGAGCCCTGATCATGGGACCCCATTTTTGCGAACACTCATGATGGGTTGCTGTACCTTGGCTGGGCATCAGAGCTCTCCAAGATGAAAGCTGGCAAGCGCCGCGCAGCGACCCGGATAATCAGGCATCAAAATCAAAGTACCTTAACATCAGGTCTGGAGTGTAGAGCCTAGCATGAGGGTCATGGCCATGCTTTGATCACCTCGTAGTCGTAGTTTTGTCCACGCCAGACAACATGCCTGTCAAACTACGCTTATCAAATTAACCAGGAAAATTGCCAGCTCCCTGCACAGGGTTTGGGGCGACTAGAACTTTCTGAACATTGAAACATTGACAAGTTACCCTCATGTCGTGAATCGCTGAGAGATTTCTGTTTGAAGGTGAGTGATGTCATCATCGGTCGCGATTGGTCATAGCGGCTGCCTATGCGAAATGCAAAAATCAGTGCATTAATTCGTCAAATGCTCTGCAGAGAGCATATGCTTGGCATTCCTACATGCCGCTGGTACATATACATGCGCATGAACTAAAGGAAGCCATTGAAAGCTTATCAGCTAGGAGTACTATGGATTACTAGTAACAAGAAGCTGGTTCGGTGCGGTGCAGCGCCGCCACGGTCACTTTCGCCGTGCAAAGTGCAGCGCAGCGGCCGTCGGTGACTTCGAAGGAACCTGCAAATGCGGAAAATCATCGGCCACAGCCGGCTGACATCGAGCTTGCCGGCTGCTGTTCACATGCCATGCATGATGATTGACATCCATGACGTGACATGGGTGCCAGTCGGACGGATCGAACCGCTGGCATCCGAACATGCTACGTCGTACTCTTCCTATCACCCTGCTAAAGCTTTCGTCACCAACCCTCGGCCTCAAGTCGACTTTTCCACTTTTAGTGACTTTTCGAGACTTTTCGACTTATCGACTTCGCGACTTTTCCACTTTTCGACTAGTCGCGGCCGAAAAATGACCGACTACTTTTCCGCTTTTGGTCCACCCTCCTTTTGCTAGCATCCATCCGTGAGTCGACACAGGATGTTAAGAACATATACACTCGGACACATTCGCGTGTCACAAAATCACAGCCGTGCAGACAAGAACAAAGCTATTTTAAATTATAAGAGTTCAGGATGAGTGCTGGCGTAACAAAAGTGCACGTGTGCCACCAGCGGCGTAGCGGCGTAGCGGCGTAGCGGCGTAGCAGGGCATCTTGCACAGCGGCGCAGTGGCGCAGAGGCGTATCGGCGCAGCGGCGTAGCGGTGCAGCGGCGCAGCGGCGCAGAGGCGTATCGGCGCAGCGGCGTATCGGCGTATAGCGGCGCAGCGGCGTATCGGCGTATAGCGGCGCAGCGGCGTATCGGCGCATCAAGGACAAAAACAAAACTTTTGCACAGCGCACTGGCGTAGCAGCGCAGCGGCGCAGCAGCGCAGCGGCGCAAGACCGTTCGAAGACACTACGAAGCGCGCGAGCGGCGCAGCGGCGCAGCGGCGCAAGACAGTTTAAGGACACAAATCGCCACCACGCTGCAGGAAAGGTTAGACAACAAAGCTCCTTGAAAGTAATCGAGCTGTACATCCATGTTGTGAGTTTCCCGGTCTCATCACGATGTTTCATCCATATGTTGGGTGAGAGTGATGTGGGCGGGTTCATGTTATTTTTTTGCGACTTCAAAGCGAGCCCATGCCACCTCAATGCCCATTCAAAAGTGCCTGTGGACCTCAAAAAGCAGTCAATGGGCGACCCGACCGTTGTACAGAGCTTGCGTCTCCAATGTTTCGTAAGAGGAAAACAACGCACCGAGCCACGTTCAGATGAAGTTGGACACATATTTTATGAAATTAGTTTTTTGCTTTGAGTGGGTTCCTTGGTTGTTAGAAGTCGGGGTTCTTGATGTGCCGATGCCATTTGGGCGGCCCTTCAACAAGTTGAAATAGTTCAATTTTTGGTTTTTAATGTCCCGAAGGGCCTGTCCCAAACTACAAGAACACTTTGCAAGAACGTTTCACAGCGCTTTTGGGGAATGCCTTCGCAGATGAGTGTCAAATTTTCAGAAACGAGAACTACCTACAACTGTTCAAGCATGTTGTTTTGGGACATTAAGTATGCCAAACGCAATTCTGCGGGGAAACGGATGGACGGTTGCTGAGCGTAGCAACAGCTGGGCGAGGGCGATACGTTGAAAAATGGCCAGGTCCATCGACGAAACTTAAGATGGAAAATACCTCGCAAATGGTTTTCAGGTTCCGTGTGGCACGGGGTTCCAACTTCAATTTTTTTTTAAATGGGGTTTGATGATTTTGATGTATCTTCCTTCAATTGTAGTGACCCACATCAAATAGATTCTTGTCCGCGGTGGCCATCAAAATTGGACCGTAGAAAATATGGTTCACACCTTTGGGACAACAACAGTGTCGGTCAAATTTGTCATTTTTTTGAAACTTTGATCACAACAATTTTGTTGGCTTGGTGAACAGGAATGTACAACCCTGCGATATTGCCAATCAAGTAAACGTGGAATTCTTGCCTGAAAACCCTCCGCCAGTCAGAATTATTGAACAATCCAACATTAATAAACTAGGTCTCTATTTTGCAGCACCGGACATCAGCACACGCGCATCACAAAGATCAGAAGAACCAAGATGAATTCACTGCAAAGAAGGAGACATAGTGACGTTGCGTGTGCCGACTAGCGATTGGATTCACACTCTTTGGTCAGGAACCCAGTTGGATGTGTTGGATGCTTTTGTGGATCAAAAAGCTTGGCGGAGTGGAACTCCGTGTCATTTGATCTCTTAGCTTCTTCAGGAGTGGCAATGCCCACGCGCGGGCCCGCATCGTCGCAACAACCTCAGATTTAGCCAGTTCGAGAATGGTGCGACAAAACAGACAGGACGTAGGGCAGTTTGCACGTGGCAACAACTCAAAGCCATAACTTTCCATTGCCGATTTTCTGGACGCTACTAGGGGCTCCTGGCCTTACTACTACGAGCAAGAAGCTAGGCACAAAGGGCATCGCTACTAGGAGCAAGGACGCTACTAGTAGCTCCTGGCATCGCTACTAGTAACAAGGGCATCGCTACTAGGAGCAAGGACGCTACTAGGGGCATTTGCGCTTGATCCTTCTTGTTTTCAGGCCTGCAGGTGTGCGCAAAGGTGGTGCACTCTCACGTGTGTGGCCCTTGAGAACCGCAGGCAACTTTTCCTTCAATTTTGAAGCATTCTGGTTCTGTTTGCAAGTTTCAGAGTTGGCTTTGAAGGACATGTAATTTTACTTATTTGCATCCTTTGGTGCATGGAGATGGATTCCCATGGTTGTGCCTTTAGGCTATTGCACGGCAGAATGGCAAGAGGCAAGGTTGTTGGACCAAGGAAGATGCGCAAACGATCGAAACCTGCTGCCTTGGCAAGTGTTGTCCAGGCCAGAGTCTGCAGCTCGAGCAAGGCCAGGCTGAAGTATCGTTTCGTTTACAGAAACTTGCTGGCAGGTGTTCGTAAATTGGCATTTGTGTTAGAAGAGCAAAGCATTGCCAGTCTGTTAGACAGTTAGACTCTTATACCTACTTTGTACATTCTTTTGGTGTGACTCAAGACTCACCATGACCGACCAGCTAACCTGGGAGGGATTCTCCTGCCAGTGACACTGCTTCTTTCGGAGTACTTTCCTGAGCTTTTTTTTTTCTAGTTCTTGTTTCTAATAGCATTTTTGTTACTAGTAGTACGGCCAGGAGCCCCCAGTAGCGTTCTTGTTCCTAGTAGCGATGCCCTTTGCTCCTAGTAGAGTCTTTTGACAGCGTTTTGTGACGAGATGCATTGACTGCCAAATCCAAGGGGCGCTCCTCCCCACCTTCCGAAAAACCAGGCAGCAAACGGCCGTTTCCGGCCATGGAATACATGTTTCCGCTGTTTCATAGCCTAAGAATGTGTTGCAGGAGTCTGGAAGAAGTGTATGTGGATCTTGCAGCAAGCGTTCTTGCAAGGTTATGTCCGCCAGTTAGCTATATATATATATATAATCTCTATGGGAGTGTGCGAAAAGAAAAAAGTGCAAAACCAAGTGCAGAAAAAGTGCATGCACGAAGAGCAAACAAAAATAGCAACTTTCAAAAGAAGCAAAGCCACCGCAAACATAACAACCAACAAACTAAAAGCAAACAAAGAGCAAACAATCAGCAGCAAACAAAAACAATTCAATCATCCCCGACTAGAAGGACACACAGCAGTAGAAGGAATAAATATATTAAGCACAAGAAGGTAAGTGCAGATTCGATCTACACTGGAGTCTTATAGGTGATCTTATTTTATATACTAAGTGTGGCAGCTTGACTTACTCCGGGCAGTTGCTCGTCTGACTGGCAACCCGCCTAAAACCAACGGGAGCAGGACCTCCAGCAGGTCCTCTGGCAAACATGGGAACCCTGCCCGGTGGCTCCGAGAGACTGGCGTGAAGAGTGGACAGCGAGTGGTTCCCAAGTCGAAGAACAGGCTCAGCTGTTATGGGCCTTGTCCGACCAAGCTGTCCCAAGGTATCGTCAGGTACCCCCAAAACTAGTGTCCCCGTCAAAAAGCGACTGGACAAGGAAGTGCGGTTCAGTGCACCTCCTGAACAAAACAAGGGACCACTGCTCTCCCTGGCAAAGGCAATCGATCCCCATGGGCTTTTGCAAGCATGCAACGGAAGGCTTCCACTTCCAACCAGAACATGGCTGCAAATGAAACGTGGTGTTTTCTTAAGGCCACAGCTAAGTCCCCTGACGGCACGGAGGGAAATTGGTCAAGCATGATTTTTCCGCACTAGTTTTGAACGTTTTCACACTTTTTCATTTCTTTTTTGAGGAATGCAAAGTTTTGGCAACCCCGAACCCCAAGAAGTGATTCTCCGCAAAATTAGGTAAGAAAAGGGTGATAAAAGCGACTCCACTACAGACTTGCACACAAACACCGCGTCCATACCGTGCCCTTGCCCCTGAGTCCCAGGTCCCAGAGTCCAGTTTGGTCACCTCCAGTTCTCATGCCAGAAGAACTCACCCGAAGACTGTGACTCTGCAAAAACGTTCCGTGTAACAAACATGAATTGTCCAGTCTTAGCGCCTTGTAGCTCAAAATGGCGCAGTGGCTTGTGTTTTTCTCAAGTTTTCTAGGGTGTTTGAGGCGTTTGCTTTGTTGTCCTTTTTTTTCTCATTTTTTTTTTGCATTTCTTTTGCTTTGTTTTTGCTTTTTGTTTGCACTACTTATCCAGGCAATTTTACTTTATGTTTTGAAGTTTTGCTTTTTATGTTGCTCGTATTGATTCTTAGAATTAGGTTGTAAGTGGCGGACATAATGGTAAGGACTCATTGCGAAGCTGACTGTTAGGACGCAAAGTTGTAAGGCACGGGCGAAACATTTAGGTTGTGTTATGTTTCTTATTATGTGAAGAGGGTTGAATTATGCTTATGATGCTGGTGATGCAAGATAGGGGGACAGCATTTCCAGCATCTTTGAACTACAACAATGCGAGTTACGTACAGGGTATGGAGACTGAAGTTTTTATAATTTTGGTGTGAATAGTGGTGGCCTGTTTCGCTCGCCACGCAACTCTGGTAAAACTAACCTATCCGAAACAATTTTTGTATGTTTATGTTTTCTTGTTTGGAGAAACCCCAGGGTGGGACCTGAAGCTGATTTGCATCTTGGATGTTGCGGTCGTGCACACTTACAGCAAAAGTAACATGTGCCCGGGGACAAGTTCGTGCCGTGGAGGTCCTGTTTTTCAGCCACCTTCGAGGCCGCCGGAGCCTTAAATTGATACTGCATCTTTTTCTCGATTGCTGTGCTGGTTTGGGGGCGTGAGGCCTATCGGAGAGCCCATTGGGCTTCTTGTCCCGCATTCAAAGTGGTTTTTGCTCCTATTTGTAAAGACTATCTGAGCTTGAAAACTTATCAACCTCGTTGCAAGCCAGGTATTTTTGTTCAGAACGAACTGGAAACAGCATGAAATGGTAGGCAAAACTACTGAGCCAGGGAAAAGACAGGGGAGATTGGCTTGCAGAAGGCATGCCCCCTTTCTCTTGAAGCTTTTTGTGCAATTCCCTGACGACTTGTCCAAAAGTGTGCAAATTTTGCGGGCGTTCAGGCAAAATCAGTTTCTGTGGTCCTTGATGAACCATCAGGATGCAATCTTAGTGCATCTGATTATGGCTCCGTTCCTTCGTTTCCAGAGTGTACTGCACAAGAATCTGTCAGGATCCCCGCAGTCACCGCAAAAGTCCCCAGAAGCGCGTCGGATGCTGGATACTTAGTTTGCCTGCTGTCCAAAGCGCCTCTGCAAGACTAGTACACTTGCTCCTTTTTATGGATTGCTGAGTGCTGAGGATGAAGCGGGCACAGACACAAGTAACGTTGCAGACTGAAGAGTTGACAGCCTAGATCCAAAGACAGGGACGCGGACCACGCCGATGTGCAGCTCACAGCAACCAATGTTTTTTTGCAATCCTACAATGCCAATCTCTCGCTCTTTGTTTGGCCAAATTTCCTGTGGAACCGCAAGGCCATCTGAAGTTGCTCAGTCACCAAAGTCAGATTCCAAGAGGTGTCTAGTGAGCCCGAAATTGAAGCTTAACCACCTGTCTTACGGTTTGCTATTTGGAATCCCTTTTGTCTCAGGAGGGTGAGCTCCCCAAATCAAACAGATCTGAGAAAAAGGGTTTGGGTCTCAGTTGACCGCTTTATCGCAGCTGCTTGAATTTTGCTAAGAAACAGGTTTAGGACTGTATGAACAAATTGCGTCGAGTCCTGTTGCATTCGGTTTGAGGACTTCTTTTTGGTTTGAGGATCGAAGACCAAGCTGGAAGACCGCATGTGATTCTAAGGCCATGTCAGTACCTGCAGCGCCGGAAGACGCCACCAACAGCTACATTCCTGCATTAGTCGCACGTCGGTTCATCTCATGTCACGTCGTTTGAGGTTCCCCTTTGACGGCTGACTCACTGCCGAAAGCGTCTGGCCCTTGGACAGGAACAGCGCTGCAACAATTATGCAAGACGTTGAAGGGGTAAAGGCCCCCCCGAAAAGAAGGTTTGAGTTGGGGTGGTTCTCAGTTTCCTTTGAGCGAAAAGATATTTATGCTCTAAACGCACCTACAGTAATTGAATGTAGAGGATGCGTGCACCGAGGCCGGCAAGGAGAAAGGTTACTACATCTGATGTGGTAGAGCAAGCGGAAGTGGAGCCTGAAACTTAGAGAAGCAATGTAGCATGAGAAGACAGGAACCAAAACTACAAAAATAGACACGTAGATTTCATAGACAGATACAGAGAATATGCATATTACATAGAGAAACTATATTGACAGATGTATGTCTTCTGCTGTAGCAGGGTTATGCACGCTTTTGAACCCGCGAAGTGTCGGCTCAGTGAGGGCCGGAGCGTGGGAACCTGGGTCTGAGACTCCTGGGAGTACAGACCCAGGTTCCCTGATAGAGTAATAAGGTTACACCCCCCTGTAGCCACAGGTCTTGACAGATAGTGGCCAGGGAGTGGGGATTTCCACCTGCGGTGGCCACAGATCCTCAAGGATTGTGGTTTGGGTGGAAATCAGGTACCTCAGTTGTGAGGACAAGTCAGGTCCCTTCAAAGTGGACCCCCTCCTAGCTGGATCAACAGACCCCCGGTGGTTTTTGATCAGAGAGGACATCCTCCTCTCCAGCTGCCATAGGTCCATAGGGACTGTGGCAAAGGAGGTAAGATGAGTTCAGCCTTCAAAGTGCTGGTCCAATATGGGGAGGAGCAGGGGGTTGAAGCTGAGCGGATATCCTCTGTCCTCCTCAATGGGTTGAAAGAAGAGGAGCCCCTTATGACCTTTGCCACTGGGAATGGCGGTCGTCAAGCATCTGAGGTGGCTGCGGCCTGGTTGACTGATGGACCAGACCCGTCCTACATCGAGTACGAATGTAGAGGCGACGGCGGTGCTCCCCTTGGCATTGGCATTGTTAAGGTTGAAAGATGGGAGAGTTTAGAGAATGGGGTCTTCTCTGGACAGCACGAAGGCGTGTCCGATGCAAAGTATGCAAGTTTTGTCAACCAAAAACTTCCCCATGGAGCCTGTTTTCATGTATCCACATTGCAGCTTGGCGCCGTACTACTCCTTTGAGGCTATGTTCACAGAAGTTTGCACGGCCCGTGGCAGTGAGATGGGGCAAGAGGCTCATTGATCTGGCAGTTAAGGGGAAGGCCTCCAGAAGCACCCGTGCTCCACTAACGGAGACGGGGGGAGATGCTGAGGTTGAGGATGAGGAGACAGAGTTGGCGAGAAAGAAACGCAAAGATGTCAATGATGTGTCAGGTGACGATGTTGTTGAATCGCCTATGTTGAAAAAGAAGGCCATGTTCATGAACAAGGGCAAAAGGAGGAGAGGGTACCAGCCACCGAGATCACCCAACGACCTGAGGTCCTTCAGGGTGAACGATCGGCTGAATCTGGTCGTCGTGGCGGACCTAGACCTTCACAGGCCCCGGATATCATGGCCCCTGAAGTTGCCCCGGCACGTGCTCCTGTCCGTCCTGCCCCAGATGAGAGTCCCAAGCGCCAAGAAGAGCCATCTCAGCGCCGTCAGCGGAGCCCCAGAGAGAGGGGTCCGTTGGTCAAGGAGGAGGAATGAGGTCGAGAAAGACGGCGGCGGGAACATCGTGTTCGCGAAGGCGATCCACCCGCTCCAGTTCCTCATGAACGGGATCAAAGAGCTGGGAGAAGGAAGAGGCGCACGGGGAGATCAAGGTCAAGGATGCGCAGACCGGAGCGGGCCCCTTCTACACCCTTTCTTGAAGATAGGGAGAAGTTTGCTGACCTGGCCAATGAGCAAGAGTCAGAAGAGCAAGGAAAAAGGAGGAGGAGAGAGCTCGAACTACGGGGTGATCTAACTGAAGTTGCGGGTCAAGTATTACTCTCTGCTTAACCACCGTAGAAACAGCAAACGGATTATTTTTTATTTTTTTCACGTTAGTGGACCTGTCCTGAATCATCGTTGCGCGATCTGTCAGTTTCTATGTTTGTTGTCTTTTCGAGTTTCCATGTTAGTGAGCCCTGGACTTGTTTTTGTCACGGTAGAAGCTGAGAGCTACATTTTAGATTATTTCCATGTTAGTGAGCTCTGGACTTGTGGAGTTCACTCCCATTCTTTAATGGTCGGCCCACCTTGCCATTGGACAGGTCTAGATTCAATACAGTGACTAACATGGTTACCGGTTACCGATGGCTGTTAGGGGCTGGGCACACTACGCAGGAGCTCCCAAACCTACGGAGCAAATGTTCAAGAGGCTAACTTAGCACTCGGCGCATGATTTCATGTTGGTTTTGGGGTCTCCACAGATAGTGGCCTGTTTCACCAAGAAACCGGACAGGCCCGAGAGGCGGAAAATGAGCTAACGTTGCAATGCTCAGGATGCGTTATTTCTTTTAATGTTCCTTTTCAAAAGAACCGCAACTTCAAAACGCTACCCTAGAAGCCAGTGTAATTAATCCCTTCCACCTATTAAAAAACACGAGGGCCCACCCCCCCCTAATAAGGAAACCTCGGTCGCATTTTTTCTAATAGGGGGTCCCTGAAATCGGGGGGTCCAAAATAGGGTCACCTGGAAAGAGTTTCAAAACAAAAACGTAATCCATGAAAATTATGTATAAAATCCGTTATTAAACTCGTATCAAGAATGCAAAAAACCTCCAGGTCGAAGGGTCTTCCTTTTCCCCCACAAAAACCTTCATTAGAATAGTGATTCTTCAGTAGACTATCAGCTAAAGCTTTCGAAAGATGATGTCGCTGTGTCATGCGGTGTTGCATGACCTCGGTGGCAAGTGCGTTTGCGTGAGTCCGTGCCATTGGGGGAAGGAAAGCCTGCTGATGCAAGCGCGGCGTGTCATGGTGGATAGACAGGGCGGACAGAGGTGGGCAGTTACGGTTGTTTTTAAATAGGTACTCGGGATTACCAATTCTTCAAGCTGCCTCAGGTTGAGCTAACCTGGCAATTCTCAGGATGAAATTTTTATATATTCTCTGCAAGGAACTACAGCTTCAACACGCTAACCTAGAAACCAGTGAAATGACCAATTCCT